TTTAGTCCCGAGAACAAAAGCCTACAGAGAAAATACTTGGTTTAAACTTATTTAAAATGAACAGCCTTTCAGTTTTCTAAAAATTCATTAACTGCTATTGTTAATTACCAGGAAATGTGTTATCATACTTCATTATGTATTTTTAAATGTCTTAAAAAATGTAATCTTTAGTAACTAGGAATTTTATGAGAAATTCCCTTGTTTTTGAACTTATTTCCAGTTTATATTTGAGAAGCATCTAAGTTAAATACAGCCTCCTTTTCAAGTGCCTTAACTAATGACCTTTATTTTGACGTTGTTGACTTTCAAAGGAAGACACCCAAGCACAGAACCCAATAAGAAAGAGCCTTCTGGCAGATGTGTCCTTTTGTTTCTGCTTTATTGCTTCTTATGTAATTCCAGTGCTGTGGTGGGGGGGTTGAATGTGGCTGGAGCTGTGACAAAGGACTGGTTGGAGCCGCCCAGCAGCAGTCACGTTGACTGGCCCAGCCACTAGCCAACCTGGACAGTTGCAGGTCACACCCAGAACCATGAGGCTGCCAGTCTGGTCTCTGTCTCCAAGGCAGGCACAGGCCAAGAGGGGAGGAAGTGGCTGAGCTGGGCCTTGTGGTTGCTTCTCCCTTAGTTAGTTATCCCTAGAAATAAACAAATAAACAGACAAGTAAATGTGATGAATATTTCTCTAGCATTTACAGTAATTGATAAGAAAACTGATCAACAGTATGAAATAATGTAATGACATCTTCATTGTTAATTTTTTCACATTTTTATAGTAGATTATTTCAGGACTAATGATAGCCAGTACTCTGTAACTTAATTTGACATATTGGATATATTTAGAAAATAAAAATTCCAGTCCTAGAAAATGTTGAAAACATCAAACCTCTATTTTACTGGTCATACCTAATAAATTTGTATTGGCTGGCATCATTTAATAACAAATGTATATCTAGCCTCTACTTTGGGCATGTGATTGTATAATACCATTAATTTGTTCCTCCCAGATATTCTAAAATATTTAGAGGGGGAAGTGCAGGACATTCCCTCAAATTTATTTAGGTAGACATTAAAAATGACTCCAGAGAGAGCTGAGGATACAGAGCCCTTGCCTAGCAAGTATGAGGCCCTAGGTCTGGTGTGCAGCATAGGAAAATGAGAACAAAACAGAAGCAAAAAACAAAACCAAAAACCCTATGCAAAAATGACCCTATTAAAGACAGGTCAAGCTCTGCAGTTTTCCTCTAAAGGGGAACCTTAGGCAGACTTACTATGGTATGGGTCGTGCAGAGTTTAATTGAGAAAATAATAAAATCGAGTGATAAGTCCTGACTTAGATCACACAGCCCTGGTTTTGAATTATGTCTCTAACACCTCCTGCCTTAAGTTAACTTTTCTAGCTCTTAATTTCCTTACCTGTAAAATGAGGATAATAATAGCATCTATTATATAGGATTTTATGAGATTTAAATGACATGTCAAGCGTTACACAGACTGTAAAAGCATGTTAAGGGGGGTTATTATTTCATTGAATTAGCTGGAAGATGCTTTAGTCCCTTGGCACTGTCTTTGATCTGAGTTATGTGTATCATAAGCCATTATAGAATCCTCTTTTGAGTTCAGGGTGTTGAATTCTCTTGTCCAGCTGTCGCCTGTGACACATGAGGGTGCAAAGAAGCAGAAACAATGGAGCCCAAGCTGTGACTCCAGCTCCACACATGTGGATGGCGGAAGGTCTGGTAGAAGATGGAGAAAGCACACCTAGTATTTTTAGATTTGTTTTTAGATTGAAAAGGCAATTACAAATGTCTGCTCTTTTCTTTACTCCCTGTGCATTCAGCATCATCAAGTGCTGGGTTTAGTTCCTGGGCCTCTCCACCCTCTCTCCCCCTCCTACACTGCTCTCCCCCTCCTACAGAGTCCACCTCCCCAGCCTCTACCGCTCAGCCACCCACCTCAGTCTCCTTCCCAGCTGCCAGCCTTCTGCTTTCCTGAACCCTCTCCTCTGTGTGGTCCTCAGCGCCGTGCTGAGCCACTGCCTCCTCCACGAGCAGACTTTTTCTGACAACCTGCCTCTGCCCTAGGCATTCTCTTTAAGTTACTCTTCTACTTCTTTACCGCGTGGTGCTATCTTAACATCATTTCAGTGCATTTCGTCTTTTGGTTTGGTGCTGAGTGTTGAGCCCAGGGCTTTATCCATGCTGAGCATGTGCTCTTCCACTGAGCTACACCTCCAGCTGATTTTAATTTTTAAATAAGCTTATTTAACGTATGTCTTCTGTACTGCAGTATAAACTCCATGAGCTCTGGATTATGTGCTTTATTTCCCTTCCTATTGCTGTCTCTTAGAACACTGCTTGGCAGTAATAGGAGATCAATAAATATTTGTTAGTAACTCAATGCATGCATAAAGTTGGTTCACTAGACTAAATATTACTCAAGGCAGCAATGCTTTTCTGTTTCAGAGTAGCGAATAGGGCACAGTTCTTTTTGTCTTCAGAACAAATTTCTTTACAGAAATAAAACAGTAAATATTAGAGTTTATATGAAAAGTTAGTTGCATTTTCAACAATGTTTCACTTACCCAGTGAGATGACTGCTTGAATAACCATATTAATGTCGAAGAAGGGAGCTTTAATTTTAGAAAGTTGTTACTTATGAATAAAATACTTAATTCTTAGAAGTAAAATATACATCAGCAAACTCTGAACAATAAGAATATGGGTCAGCACCTTTACTCATCTCTGAGCAGAGGTAGAATTCATGTGTGTTTCGGTATTAAGCTTCTCAATTGTTATCTCCCTCCAGCTTGTTGAAGAATATGGGTCTTATTTCATAGTGATAGGGTGACTATAAGCATAAAATATTTATCGAAATCTCAGCAGAAAGAACATGTCTATTGAGAGGTTCTTGAAAAACAGTTTGTTCTTTGAAGTCATCAAATATTACTCTTTTGAAGCCAACTATGGTGATGCACACTTCTAATCCCTGTACTCTGGTGAGAGGCTAAGGCAGGAGGACCACAGTGTCTCAGAAAGCAAGCCAAGGGCCGGGGATTGAGTTCAGTGGTTCCGCCTCGTGCCTCGCAACCACAAAGTCCCAAGTTTGATCCCTGGTGCAAAAAAAAAGAAGCAAGCCAAAACAAGGAATGGGGTGTAGCTCACTGTGAAGGCCTTGAGTTCAAACTCCAGTACTGTGTGTGTAGGGGGAGAAGTTTTATATATATGGGGGGGGGGGAGAAAGTTAATTGAATAGACTAGATTCCTGGACAAAGTATACATTCACAGAATTCTTTTGTTATTTGCTATCTTCTACTTATTTTAAGAACCTTTATAAGAAACATAGTATCTATTATAAGGATATAAGAAACATTGTCTTTTAAAAGGATATTATGTTATTTTTTTACATGCTTACATTAGGATCTTTGGAAGGAAATTAATTTTAGAATGCGAAGAATACAAGTATATATATTTTTTTCTTATTCTAAGGATGTTATGAAGAATGTGATAAAGGTTTTCTCTTTTGAATGTTTGAGCCAAAATTCATGATTAAAATATGGAAAATGTAGAAGTCTTTTGGTTTGGGTTGTATTTTTTTGTTTTGTTTTGAGACAGGGTCTCACTTTACAGCTCAGGCTGGCCTTGAACTCACTATGGAGCCCAGGCTGGGCTTGAACTCATGGCAATCCTCCTGCCTCAGCCTCTCAGATTGTTGGGATTACAGGCATGCACCACCACACCCAGCTTGTTTTTTGTGTTTTTTTTTTTTTTCCAATCTCACACTGAGCTATATCCCCAGCTCTTTTTTTGCTGTTTGACAGAGGGCCCTGGGCTGGCCTTCAGCTTGCAATCCTCCTGCCTCAGCCTCCGTAGTACCTGGGATTACAGGTCTATGGTGATCTTAGGTTTTTGTTCAGTTTTTTTTCTCCCAGTCTGTCTCCTTAGCTTGAGGCTTTTACTTGCTCCTTTGTTTTATTTTCAGTCTTTGGCTATGTGCTTGTGATCTCTTTCATTGCTCTGTGAATTCTGCAGAAAGTGGTTGTGGGGACAGGCCACATAGAAACAAAGAACTATGTGGGGAAAAGGGTGGGTACTGTCTTGGTAAGGAATGCTAGGATGAATAAATTATGTTTCCTCCCTCTATAGTGACATTTGAATGGTAAAAAGAATGTCAATTCTGTGCTATAATGGGTAATCCTGATAGTAGCTTTAGAAGATGAAGAATTTTCTTTCAGCTGTAAAGAACATTTTTAATTTATTTTTTAATTTTTTGCTACCAGGGATCCAACTTGGGTCCTTGTGCTTGCACAGCAGGCAGCAAAATCACTGAGCTAAATCCCCAGCCCCAAGAACGTTTTTTAAAGCATTATTTCAAGGTACATCTAGGTGTATGGCTACTAACATACCATTTCTCTTCCTATGATGATACACCAAGGCTTTGTTTTCTTATTCTCATCTTCCCATGCCACTTTATCTTTAAGAATGAGTTATTCTGAAGTTTGTCTTAATTTTTTGTGAAAACAAGTTTATTTTATAAGCCACCTATTAATTTCCTTTTGCTTGTCTTTTTCATAATAGTCTTGTTTTACAAATTATTGTGGTTAGAATTTAGAAATTCTGAGATATAAAATGAGGTGATCTAAGTCTCTATTCAACTTAGGACCTGAAGTAGGTCAGTCTCTACACACCCTACTTGCTAGGTCCTCAGTTTAGGTTTCCTCAGAGAATGTTGTGCGAAGCCTGCTACTGAGGTTAATTCCAATATTATAGCTAATGTCTTTAGCCTTTGTGTCATATTCTCAATGCATTATTTAATATGTTGAGGAAATTGGCTAGACATGATCTATTGAAAGAGATGTGTTTTAATTGTAATCAGACCCAAAGTAGCTGTGTAACTGTATTTATTGGACTTGATCTTCAAGTTATACCGCCGTTTAAAATTCACACAATTAAAAAAGGGGAAGGTCACAATGTTTCATTAGGAATGTTCTCTGTCATCCACAGGTTTTTGGAAATGCTCCGCCAAATACAATGACAGAAAAGTTTTCTGATCTGCTGCAGTTTACAACACAAGTCTCACGACTGATGGTGACAGAAATTCGGAGGAGAGCGTCAAACAAATCCACAGGTACTGTTGCAGAGGCCACCCCAAATGATTTCTGTGAATGGAGAGATGCGTCTCCCGAAGTGCTGTTAAGATTAAACGGAAGGGAAACTGTTGTGTGCACACAGGTTTCAGTTAACAGTCTCCGTCCTGCTCTTACAGTCCCCTTCCTCTGTTGGCTTCTGCATCTGCTCCTTGGACCACCACTGCCACCTCCCAGGCCACCCTTTAGCCCTCTCTTAGCTCTTTCTAACAGGCTCCAAATTCCTAGCATGATTCTCAGGGCACATCTGAGATCTGCCTCTCTGTGTGTTTTTAGCGTACCCTTTTTTCTTCCCCATTCCCTTCTCCGTATTGCAGACATACCACACTGTGTACAGGCCCCAAGCATGTCTACACTTTCAGTTATGTCCGGTGTTTATTTCTAATGCGCCACCCATGGTGGGAGACTTTTCCTCATGTTAACTTGTTTAACTAAATTGCAGGTTGGCTTAAGCCACACTTCCTTGGTAGAATGTTTTTTGATTTCCACAATCAAATAAAACTTTCCTCTTCAGTTTCTCCACCGTGGGAGGGGTAATTTGTGCCCGTGTCTTCATCCTGCTCACTCATGAGCTGCTTGGGCCTCCATAGTCTCGAGGGGTTGCTCTCTTGTTGTCATCTCTGCATCTTCCTTTAGGTCTCCATGGGTGCCTTTCTATTTCTCTGGCATGGATCCTGTTTCTTGAATCCTGTTTCATCATTTTTCTCACATTCTTCATTTTGGTGAACATCTTTTCTAACAGCTTCCCAAGAAAAGAATGTCAGAGAGTTCTTGTCTTTGTTTTTGTAGGTATCCCAGGAGTGAAAACATCTTTGTCTATTGCTGTATGTTGTGGCTGTGTCTAGATGTCCCTCCAGAGCCTCCTGCCGTCACAGGTGGAGCTTTTTCAGAGGTGGCTGGATCTAGAATGTGTGATTGATTCATAGCGCAATACTAGGGTTACAAGTGCTATCTGCCCTAAGATCAGTGGCCTGGATACAGCATAAGGGACAGAAAGAGGCTTGCAGTTAGTCACTGTAGTTGGTTGCTGGCTTGCTTTTTCTATCTTCTGCCTTCCGTGAACTGTTTCTCTTCTGTGACGCCACCCTGCCTTGGAGCCAGGTGATGAGGGACTGAAACCTCTACAGACTCTGAGCCAAAATTAACATTTTCTCTTTGGTTACATTTAATATTTAACTTTGGGTGCTGGGGATTTTGTCTCAGCACCAAAGAAAAGTAAGAAACACAGTATATGAAGTGAGTCCCTTCCTTGTTGTGTAGGAAAGGAGTACTTTTAGATTGACCGTCATCTGTCAGGTCCCAGGACTTGGAACACATCTCCTTGCCACGTCCAGCATGGCCTTAAGGTGGGGGTGGGGTCAGTGGGCCGGGAAGGCATGGGTCTGGCCCCTCACTTCGAGGTCTGCCTGGTGAAAGGCCTGCCTCCCTTCCTCCCCATCCCCACTGCTTGCCTCCTCAGGACAGCATGAAGTCTTCGTTCATCCAGGGAGTGCCTGAGCCTGGCTGAGCGCCTGTGTGTCCTCTTTGCAGTGGAAATCAGATTTGCGATTGCAATAATTTTGTTTTAAGAGTTAAAGAAGGGGGCTGGGGATTTAGCTCAGTGGTTTCACCGCTTGCTGTGCAAGCACAAGGACCTGAGTTCAATCCCCGGTACCAAAAAAAAAAAGAGTTAAAGAGGGGCCAGGGATTTAGCTCAGTGGTTTCGTCACCTGCTGCGCAAGCGCAAGGACCCGAGTTCGATCCTTGGTACCAAAAAAAAAAAAAAGAGTTAAAGAGGACTTTCTCCATTTCATCCAGGCCCCTGTGCTACTCTGAGGGTACCTAGATTCTTGATTCTTTAGCATTTGATGATTTTTTTTCCTGAAGAACGTTTTAGAATCTTCTCTTGCCCCTACTCTTCTGTATTTCATGATATCATGCCTCAGAATTGATGTGTTTTTATAGTTTGTGCTGAGTATTTGTTGAATTTTTTCAGTCTTGGAGTTCACATCCTTTTAATTTTGGGAAAATTTCATGAATTGTTTACTAATCTGATTTTGTCTCATGTTATGTTTACAGAATGGCCTTGGCTGTCTCTTCCTTGGCTCTGCTGTTGTGGAGGAGAGAAGCTTTTAAAAGTTCATGGGCAGCCTTTTATTTTTGGTGATTTTCTTTTTCTCCCTATATATAGGTAGATTTCCCCAGAGTGTGAACCAGTTTCTACTTACAAGACATGTGTCTAAGTCCTAGCATCTCAGAAGTAAAGTGGAAGAAAGGTTTGGGGAACCTCCGTGTTAAGGACAAGCTTCTCTTGACCCTGTCTCCACGCTGGTTGTGGTACCCCCAGCCTGAACTTGCTCCCTTACTCTGCCAGTGAGGAAACCTCTTGTCCAGTGCCAGTGGAGTAGCTGGGACCCGGGCCTCTTCTCTTAGTTCATTGTCCGCCTCTGCTGCCGAAGTAGCCAGGGCCGCCAGCTCCTCAGCTGCTCAGAGGTTCTCTGGTCACCCTGTTGCTTTTCTACTTTCCCTGAGTTTGCTTTAAGATTCTAGGGTGTGGAAATTTCACTTGCCACAGACCTCTCTGCTATTTTAGTATCCAGAATTTTGTTTCTCTCATTGTTCCTATTCTCCTTTCTCAAAAAATCCCTTTGCAATACATTTTTGTGGAGATATTAGACTGCTCAAACTGGCACAGAAAAGTGCCTTGGGGTGGGAAGCACAGAGAGCAGGAATTTGTTTCCTCCCCTGGCTTGGAGGCTGGATGCCGGGTCAGCACACCTGCAGGGTCAGGCCTTGGCGAGGCTTCCTTCCGGCCTTCTCACCGTGTCCTTGCAGCAGGAGAGCAAGCTTTCAGGCAGGTTTTCTCAGGACCCCACCCTATCTCGAGGGCCCCACCCTCATGACTTTACCTAACCCTGATCACCTCCCAAAGACCCCATTTTCAAACACCATCCCATGAGGTGTCAAGGCTTGAAACTGAATTTTTTCCTATATCTGTGTATTTATTACACATGTGGAAAACACTGAGTATATGAGGCTTTTCACTGCAGCACTGTCATGGTCATGCAATGTCAGTGTCCGTCCCGACCTTCTCCCTGAGTCAGTTATGGTGAAGACCTGCGGTTCTGGTAGAGATAGTCACTTTCGGGTGAGCACTGATGCCATGGGACAGACTTCATGGTGACCCTGAGTAATACTGGTGAGTGAATGAAGCAGTACTGTACAAATCATTTGCTGAAACAAGAAGCCGGGTATTGGAAACCCACAGATAATCCACCCATTTCATTTTCATCACGTTTCCAGCTCCATTCCCAAGCCTTTAATGTTATCAGCAATGTTGATAAGCACTAAAGCTTTCCTGAGTTTCAATTTCTATTTTTTTGCCCATAAATTTAAAAAAATTTTTTATTTGAAACTGAATTTTGTAGGTACACAGTTCAATCCCCAGCAGCAATGTTTCAGCAGAGAGCAGAGACATGTGCATGTGCTCAGCCTTCTGTCTGTTGTGTAGTTTGGGAACAGCAGCTGTTAAAATTTGTTTAGGTTTGGGCCAGGGTTTTAGCCCAGTGGCACCATGTTTGGCAAGCACAAGGTCCTGAGTTCGATCCCCAGTACAAAAAAAATTGTTTAGGTTTAGGACTAAATCCCTTACGCAGAAGTAGAACGTTATATAAATTGATGTGTGGGTTTTAGTGTGAGATGGTTTTCATTATATTTGCTATCCTGAAATAAATCTAGTGGAAGTATGTGTTTCTTGCTCTTCTACCTCAAATGGAATTGAATCTTTCTTTATTTTTCCTGATCTCAGGAAGTGAAAATTTGGTATAGATGTCCTGTGTGTTTTCTGCCCATTTAGTTGCTGTAAACAGGTGATAGGAAGGAGAACTTCTCTGTCCAATGTTCACTCGTGCCATTGCACTTTATTTCCTGAATGACATTCTAAGTTATGAAAAAATCCCCAGGACTTTATTTTCATCTGCTTCACTCTCGTTATCTTTTCAAATATCGACATGAGTTCAGAAAGACATTTTGCTACATGGGAAATGTGTTTTCTTAGACGCTTAAGTTTACCCTGAGGCCTGCTCGGGCAGCGTGTTTGTTCAGTACCGAGTGTCCCAAGCGTTGCTCAGGCAGGTGTCATTTCAACCAGTCATATCTTCTATTGAACGCATTTGATGAAATTGTCTTTTTTATATTTTCTGTTATACTATCTTATAAAAATTAATGAGAAAATGTAATTTTTGGTCATCCTGTATTTAAGTAATTGGACCAGTAAGTGGTTAGTGCCTTTTATGATTTTACTCTCCTAGGGTAATTTTTAGGGGGAATGAAAGATGCCTTAAGTAGGGAAGATGTCTCATTGTTAATTACAGTAATAGTCACACAGAATTTTCTTAACTTTTAATTTTGAAACAAATTATAGAGCCACAGGAAGTTGCAAAAATAGTATATAACCTCACATGCCCTATACTCACCTTTCCTCATTGGTGGTGTCTCACTGAGGCATTTTTTTAAGATTCAGATTTTGCATGTTATATAATTTTATTTAATTTTTAAATTTGTGACATTCATTTATAATCCTGTGAGATTCATTGCAGTTTGTGTGTTACTCCCTTAGGAGAAACCTTTTCTATTCTATCTCTAGTAGTCGCCGCACTGGGTCTGCACTCAAGTTAGTATCTGTGCAGTCACCTGTGTGTTTCATTGACGGATTTGTCACCACCTGAAAATACCTTGTTTATTTGCTTCATTTTATTGCCTGTTGCAGTCACTCCTGTGTCATTAACATTGAGAAGAATGCTTGTCACCTAGTAGGTGTTCAGTAAGCTTTTGCTGACATTTGACATAAGAGTTCTCTGTTCTTGTTTTCTGATCCTCCTGCCTCAATTGCTGGGATTCTAGGTGTGTACCACCACATCTGGCCTTTTTTTTTTGGTACCGGGGCTCGAACTTGGGACCTTGTACTTGCAGACATCTGGCTTTTTAAAAATATTGCTTTGCG